CTCTCCCCTCCTGTCCGTCTGTCTGTCCACTCCTCCGGGCTCTGGCGGTGGCTCCTCACGGGCACCGCGGCACGGCCCTCCTGTCCATCTGTCCTGCCGTCTGTCTGCCCCTCTGGCCCCCGCCCTCGCTCCTGCACCCCAGTGTGCTGCAGTGTAGCCCTCCTGTCCGTCTGTCCATCCTGCTATCTGTCTGCTCCTCCAGCCCCATCCCTCTGCTCCTGCCCCTTGCACCCTGATGTGCGGCCCTCCTGTCCATCTGTCCTGTTGTCTGTCTGCCCTGCCAGCCCTGTCCCTCTGCTCCTGGCTCATGTACCCTGATCCCTCCTGTCCGTCTGTCCCACTCTCTGTCTGTCCTGCCAGCCCCATCCCTCTGCTTCTGCCCCGTGCGCCCCAGTGTGCCACAGTGCAGCCCTCCTGTCTGTCCATTCGTCTTGTTGTCTGTCTGCTCCTCCAGCCCCAGCCCTCTGCTCCTGGCGCACACACCCTGATCCCTCCTGTCTGTCTGTCCTGTTGTCTGTCTGCTCTGCCAGCCCCATTCCTCGCTCCTGCCCCAGGCACCCCAGTGTGCCGTGGTGCAGCCCTCCTGTCTGTCCGTCCTGCCATCTGCCCGTCCCTCCAGCCCCATCCCTCTGCTGCTGTCCCGCACACCCCGGTCCCTCTTGTCTGTCTGTCTGTCTGTCCGTCCTGCTGTTTGCCCGCCCCTCCAGCCCCACCTCTGTGCTCCTGTCCCGCGCATCCCGGCCCCTCCTGTCCGTCCCTCTGCCCCCGCCGCCCCACTGCACGCGGTCCTGACCCTCTGGTTGTCCCCGTTCGCCCCAGGTGTCTCCAGAACTATATCCCGCCCCAGAGCCTGACCCTCTCCTGCCCCGTCTGCCGCCAGACCTCCATCCTGCCCGAGCGCGGCGTCGCCGCCCTGCAGAACAACTTCTTCATCACCAACCTGATGGAGGTGCTGCAGCGGGACCCCGAGAGCTGCGGCCCCCACCCCGGCCGCGGCCTGGACCCCGTCAGCGCCGTCACCGGCC